ACCCCGTTTCTTGGTTTGCATTTGCTTCATTCGGCTAACATCACTGGTGGAAACATTGCGTTTATGTTTTTCGACGGATATAATGTCTCAGTTCGACCCACAATTAAACAGCGATACGGCAACGTTCGCAATGTTTACATTCCCACAATGCATTTAAGTTATAGAATGAATGAATTCACGTGTTCGTTATGAATGAAAGAATAGTTACGTCAGAATGTGACCTAATTGTGAGGTCATCGGTTGTCCAATCAAATCGTTAGAATCTCAGGTCAAGTCGTTACGACCCAGGTCAACGCGATACGACACTCGTGTGACGTACGAGATTAGTATGCAACTACCCATACGCTGACCACGTGGGTAATAAAACATATACAGAATAGTCTGTGTATACAGAGAAGCTGTGTAATCTGGACCATTACTGTTACGAATGTTTTACATAAACAATCCTCTGCAGTTGGGAACCCATAAACCTGGAGTTTATATCGGGAACCTTTATATGTACTGAAACACTTTTATAACGACCCATAAACCTGGAGTATGTCGGGAACCTTTATATGTACAGAAACACTTTCATAACGACCCATAAACCTGGAGTATATCGGGAACCTTTATATGTACAGAACGCTTTTCATAACGACCCATAAACCTGGAGTATGTCGGGAACCTTTATATGTACAGAAACACTTTCATAACGACCCATAAACCTGGAGTATGTCGGGAACCTTTATATGTACTGAAACGCTTTCATAACGATTGTTTTCGTAAAGTTTGGCAAAATGGTCATAAAATCAAATGAAATTGTTTTGGGTATTTATGCATGTGTTACTCAAATACAACAATATAGTACAGGTTTCAATCTTGTTGATTGTGTTTGGAGATACCCCTGAGCACAAAACATACAAATGTACATCATTTCTATCTTCTAGGTTTATTGTGCGTTTCCAAATGTTTCAGTACACGTTTAAAGAGGCATAACTTACCCATATTTTGTCAATCCAAATATTTGAGTTCGAAATGATATAGTCAAGATCAAAAGGGTTTCGCTGTACACCATATCGTACTTATTCGCATAATTATAAAACTAAAACTTGTGGAAAAAGTTGAATATCAACACGTTTCCTGAATGCATGACAAAGCAAACAGTTCTAGGCAGGATATTGATGTATATACCCCTTATATTCGTTGATAAACAATACTGATTACTGGATATTAATGCTCGAAATAATTCCTTTATCCAGTGTATGAAATAAGCCAAAAATCCAGCCACACATCAGGACTGGTAACTTAAAAATGTTACCAGCCCAAAATGGATTTAACCAGACCAAATATGGTGAATTTACTTAGATGTATGGAACATCTAAAATTTTACCAGACCATCGGGCTGGCTAGCTGTTAATTTAGACCGTCCGTCAGAAATCTAGCCCGTCTCGGGCGGTCAGACGGGCCTTTCATACACAGCTCTATCTTATTAAACAGATGGCCCTTATAAACGAGAATTTGTCTTAGTGGCAACCGACAATTCCAGCTCAAGAAGTTTACAAAGAAATGAAGAACATATGAGAACAGCATGTCCTTATACGCAGTTTAAAACATCCATTAGTACTAAACACTTAACAATTTCAACAGAATAGAACATTTCCACTTTCTCTAAAATCCGATGTTGTTCTACTTTTTGTCAGAACAACCAGGTATATAAACCCTTGTAGCACAGCCTTTGTTGGTATACAATGTACACACGAGGGGAAGCGATTCCCCGTCCACCATCTGGAATACATTGATTTGGTTTCATGAACAAAGTTCCAGACTCGCGATCCTGATTGGAGCAAACAGCTGGGCTGACCCCTCCGGGTGTCCGCAAACATCCAAGCACATAGATTATGACTTAGGAGATGGTCCATTACCCGTGGCCGATATGTCGTCTCAGGTAATTACTGATTGGGAAGGTCAATAATGTCGTACTGAAAGGTCAGAAAATGTACTTCAGCGATTCCAAACGCGCCTAATCTCTTTGTGGCGAGTCCAAATTGATTTTGGTAATTTTTAAAAAGCAGACTTATTATTTGGTTTGTACTGCGTTTACATGATCTTAAGTGCAATCTTAGCATTTTAAACCTTTTTCACCCTGCTCCGAAGCGATAAGATTAAACGTACTAGGAATTTGTGTAACAAAATTTGGTTATTTATAAGTGCATATTCTTACTACTGAAACGGCGTTGGACTGATGGCATTGAAATCGTTTGATGGAAGGGAACGGTAGTTTGATGACCGTTTGACTTATAGAAAAATCTCCATCCGGCAATTTCATGTTTGAAAATTTGTTCCGACACGATGATAAACTGTTCCACAAAGGATCAAACGTCGACTCGAATAAAATAACATAATTACTGCCAGTCAAGTGTATATAATGAACGACTCAAATATCGAGGTTTCCTTTCACTAGTTCATACATGGGCCTAATGTATTTTGATGTCTGCTCTATGGCGCCGTTGCAAAACGTATGATGTCTGATACACACGAATGTGTTTTGTTTAAAACAATCAGATTGCATCAAAGAGCAAACAATCTTAGAAAAGGCATACTTCACCTAAAATAAAGCCCTACAAATTGTTTCTTCTCGCACGTTATTAAGGGGCTGGTTTAAGTTTTGTATATTTCAAAGGAGTCTCCTCTGACGTCGCGCGCACGCCTAATTCTCAACATTGTCCAAGGTTGTCTTAACACCGTCCTCTAGTTACAAAGGAACTTGGAGCGTATTAGTTTGTCGCGATGTTCATAAAGTTTAGAAATTAAGACAAGCTCTGAACTTTTTGTTCTCAAAATGAAAAACACATAAACCATTCACTGATCATGAACGATGTAGATGTTGCCTACGGCATAAACAACCAATACTTCGATGTAGCCAGTGGGAAAAATAGAAATTCACCTTCATGGGACTGAATGGAATGTTTCAGATGACACAGATTCTAGCTAACGTGTAGCTCGCGGCGATATATAGATCATGTCAATGCGTCACTCAAGCGTATAGAGATGAAACTGTGATCAAGAGGAATATAACAGTGATAGGTAAACTTTGAGTGAAGATTGTAGGGCGATACCTCACATTTACCTGACACCTTGACAGTAGGCCGTTATTTCTGTATAATCATTTCCAGGACTGTTAACAGCCATGTCATGGCATGATGTATTAGGGAGACTCAGTCTGTACACATCAAAGTATTAATTATTTGTCTGGATATCAATCAAATGTACTATACGTCTTAGTTTCGTGTAATTTCAGATTAAACAGCAATCGTGGAAATAAATGGCATGTTATCCAATCATTGAGTTTTGAGGTGATCCATGTAATTGTACATTCTACTGAAAGCATTGTGAAACATGTGGTATTATGTATCATGTACGACAGTTATCATAGAGTTGTCATTGCCGTCCAGTTCAAGGATCCCATGAAGCCCTCCTCTCTGGTTTAGCTTCACACGAAATCCCTTCTACGTTTGTAACGTCCCATTCTCATCCCTTTTTCAGTTCTACGGGCTCATTCTCACACTCTCTAAGCTCTTGCATCACATGTTCAGTTCTAGGATGCCTCTCACCCTCTCTTGCATCTCATTCTCATTTCCTTTTCAGTTCTCATGGCTCATTTTCACACTCTCTAAGCTCTCGCATCACATGTTCAGTTCTAGGATGCCTCTCACACACACTCTATACCATCCCATTCTCATCCCATTTTTGATTTTAGGATCACGTCCTCTCCCGCTTCTCTGTTCTATCGCTCCATTTGCGTCGTTTCTCATATCTACTACCCCATTCTCATATCGTTTTCGGCTCTAGGATTCAGACATCGTCACTTTCTCAACTCTAGCATTCAATTCTCGTGTCGTTTTCGGCTCAAGGATGAAAGTTTGGCGTATTCTTTTCAAATGCATTTCATAAATCCTCATACACAGCCATATTTCTTGACAAGTTGCAAGTGTTATTCATAGAAGATACGCTTGAGGTATATTCAGCTTCATCTGACCTACTTGCATTCTAACGTAGTATTTTTTCAGATCTGATCAAACCCAAACTTTGTTATTGTGTCATGTCTTGCAAGGCGCCATTGGGGATATTTTAGACGTCATCTTGTGCCGCCCCTCCCCTCCCTTTCCCAGTGTCCGATTGCAACTCTTCTGTTCGGATCAATTAAATAATGCATTTAATGCAGCAATGTATACGCGTCAAATACAGGTCACGTTAAGGTAGACAATACCCCCCTGAAGCACACACTATATGTTTTGAAATATTAATTCAAATTGGATAAATCTAGATGGGCGCTGAGCCAAACCAGACTGAACGCTGAGTCATCACATCTTCTGAGACTATTGGAACAAAGAACGGAACCTAATTGGTCTGTCAATGTCCATAACATTGGACCAGACTTGTTTTCTGGTATAAACGCCGTGGAAGAAAACATCAAAGTTAATGTTTAATATTGATATAATCCAGACTCGCGTTAACCCTGAGGCACCGGTTATTCCAGGTGCGCACTCACGTGTGTTTTAAAACTCGCGGTATTGTCATTATGCACGGTGAATGGTCGCACGAGCCACTTCGGCACCAGACTGGACATGGCTGACCACAGATGGCTGATCAAAGACATGGAGCATCGTCTGACAATTCATCAGCTGAATTGATTGATTTCATGTCACGACGATCGTTTGCCTCTGAATATCAATATCTCAAGTCATCTCTATCAAGAAAACATGTAGGTTCTTCTTACAACGCGACGACTTCACAATTCAAGTTCGACAGATATATATAAAAAAGTCTGATAAGCTGATAGGTTTGATAAGCTGTCTGGGATGAACTGCCCATATCCCACACGAAGTTGTGCAAACGAGGACAGCTCGTCCCGATAACGACTTCAATATGACATGCACACACAAACAGGTATACAATAAAACCATATGTATACTCCAACGTGGATTATAATACAGTGTAAGCATTGCACAAAGTGAGCTTACCTTCCTTTTCCCCCATGTTGACTGAAGTCGGTACCGGTACTCCAGTGAAAGATTCTCAAGTCACCCCACTCGCAAATCCAACTGAACGTAATCCCGTGCCAAGCTCAAGTGTACACTCTGACTGGTCGTCTGCTATACAGTACGCTCGCGCCAGGTAGCGGCAGACGATCTCACATTCGCGGTCTCGTCTGCTTTGTGAGTCCCGGTTGGGTCAAATTGGGACAATGACGAATGGGGTTTGTTACAGCGTCACCGCTTCCCTTGTGCAGCTTACAGAGCCTGCACCCAAAATACACCCACCCAGAGCGGGAAATTTTGCCGTGGAGCGCTCTTCCGATTATTGATCACGTCATGAATATGCATGAGATATATAACAGCCCGTTTAGTATAGAAAGTTTGCTTGTCGTACAAAATAGAGGAATGCGGAGGTGTGAAGATTGTACTTAGCTTTGTAAGGAATAGAATATGCCGGTGTGGTTTATACAAAACGTGAGACCTTTCTCAGCGACTGTTTAAATAAGCCAGACTCTACCGGACTTGCGTAGGTGTGCGTGTGTAGATTTAAGAGTCACATATTTCCCGCTCTAAGCTTGTTTTTCAACCTGTCTCTTTAAATCAAGCCCAACCGCCGCATTTTATTTCAATGCCCGCGTTGCCAGGAGGAAGGGTCAAGGTCGAGTGATCTATAAGCAATATATTCACCAGGACCCTGGCTTCTTGACTTGGTTGAATGCATGTCACCGTACTCCAGTTTTACCGTGCTCATCATATCAACCACGGGTTTATCTGATAAAGATTCACTCACGAACCGCCTACTTATTCTTGTAATATTCCCGAGTGCCTTGAACAACAAACACATTAGTACATTCTATCATATACACATAATCCAGTCGGTGGATATATTTATAGCAAAACATCACACATACACACGCCTTCTCAATGAGATATGACAGTTTATTCCCCGGTAGGGATTAAGGCACCATATACTGATACACTGTCAACCACGCCTCCTTGTCCATTTGAAATGTTTAGTGTTTGCGTTGTACGGTGTTCATCAACAAATCTCTGGTACTGTAGCTGCTCCAAGTCTTGGAACAAAATCTACAGTGCAACAATACAATGTAAATCAACCGTGTTGACGGGACCACCTTTGTCGTCAACTGAATCACAAGAGACCATACAGACGGCCAATCAACAGAAAGTATACGCCCATATTTGATGGTGACCAAAATCCAACAAGCAAATGGTTATTCGATGGTGATGTATAGGATACAGGTGTCATGTAAATGTAGCTGTGTTTCGGCAATTTATCATGACAACGTTTATAATATCCTTTTTGGTCGAAACCCAATTTTCAAGAGTACACTTTTTGTTCGACTGGCAGCTGGCTGTTTCTATTCTTTCACGTATGTGTGCATGTGTGTGCGTGCGTATACATGTATATGTATGTGTGAGTGTATGTATGTAAGTAAGTGTGAGTATTGTATGTGTCAGGTTTATAGCTAGTCATATCGGAAAATCTGCTAATTCACACTGGCCGTAACTATAAAATGTAATGAAATTTAAATGGGTTTCCTATACACTAAAAAAAGAATGAAGACATTATGAGAAACAGAGGGTCTCTGCCACGGAGCCCGTGATGCAATTAATACCCTCCTCATGTGGGCCCAGTCCACATAAATTGTGTAGTTGTTGTGCACTTGCCAGTTTTAATACCTGTTGGAGAGTTATGTTTGTTTGAGCAGTTGTAGGCCCTAATTCATGCACATTTTATCCTCTTTGTCGGACATTAAGTGTACTTTTTCTGTTGAGGCACTTAATATCCTACACCTTCTGACAAACACACTTTAATTATGTATTTTAGTCAAGGTGTTGATTGATTGATTTTTGCAACTGCCAATTGATTTGGTTGATCAGCCAGGTGTGACGGCGTGTTATGAAGCTAAACATTGTACTTGTATTTCCCTGTCAAACATTTTTCACTGGCATACTCACAGATCAAAGCTTGTTCCAGGTATGCCACAGACAGGTATTCCAGATTGTGAACATTAAACTACAACGCTGACATTTATTTGTTCACTGCAATGAAATACACTAAACGCCAAAAGAAACGTTACCCTCCTGCCTAAGATAGGTACCTATCTTCAGCTGGCGTTGTGATGCGTGGACGTCCACTTCTTGGTCTGTCTTCGGTGACCCCAGTCTGACTGAAGCCCTGAATAAGTCTTATAACTGTGATACTGTGGCATCCGAGGGCGTTGGCAACAACATTGTACGTCGACCCCATCTGCACCATCCCAATGGCTCTTTCTCTCTCTTCAGCTGTTAATCGTGGCATATTTTTCGTACATGTGTATCATATCATATATTCTAGGCTCTCTTCATACCCTATAGAATCATTCCACATGTGAAATGGATGCAAATACTGCTTGAATATTGCTGCGTTTTGGCGATTGATATTGCTATGTGTACACAGAAAAAAGAAAAATGTTACTTTGCAGACAAAAATGTTAAAAGAATTTTCGATGTTCCTAAACACTTTTTCACAATACAAAAGATACATTTTACTTGTTTTCACTGATGCAAATCAGCAGAAAATGTGGAATCATAGGAATGATTATTTTACAATTTTACACACTCTACAACAGTTGTTTCTTGTTTTAATAGTTGAAAAATTGTGACTTTAAATGGTCTATCTTTGTCTCAAAGCAGAATTATATTTCAACCTTTCTTTTGGACATCTAAATCACTGTTGTTGGTTTATTTCGGCATGGACGAAACTAGGACAATGAAACTGTTCTGAAAAGGATGCATTTCACCTAAATATGAATGCATTTGAGAATTTGTTTTCGTGATTTGCATAAAGCTGTGTTGTTAAGCTATCTTGTGAACTAATACCTTCTAACATATCTTTGATAGTGTTTCAGTAATTCATAACGTTTCTTTTGGCGTGTACTGTACAAAATGATTTCCCCCAAAAATGAATCAAAATACGGACGAATTGTTTGAAAAATATTTTCTTTTAAAAAATTGTGAGGATTACGTATAAATCGTTCGTTAGAATTACAGTACCGAAAGTGACAATTTTCCCTGATATAACTTCTCATGTCATCCTATCAGCACAACACAGGTATTTTACTGCAGACCTGCAACTTTAAGATGAATTCCCTTAACATCATTTGCTTGACAATACGCAGTTAGTTCTTGGAGCTCTTTGTTGACCTTGTGCATGGAGGATTTATCAGACGCTTCACTGAACTCATTCATTTCACACTCTGTATGCTCGTCTCGAAACTGTGCAACAAGCTATTGATAAACTGAACTACCAGTTTAGCGGGCAGACAAGTAACTGTGACAAACCTGCTTTTAACCGCGCACGTCATAGGTTTAGGAGTTCGGATCTTATCGGATTTAGCGTCCCTTGAATGCTAACATCGGATCTTATTGGAAGTCGTTACAACCCTTTCATTTTAACCATATTACTATTTCTCGGATTATATTTTGTACATGTTTCTAACACGCTACCATTGCGAAATTAACTTCGTGGTGACTGCAATCATGTAACTTTAAATGGTCGTAAGAGCTCATTTCTCCGACCATTAGATCCGAAACTATGAACTAATAGGAAGGTCCTAGCATTGCTCACTGTCTCTCTCTCAGGTTTGTTGCAGTGACCTGTAGAGATGTAATATATCGACAATGAGTATAACAGATTTGCGAATAGGTTTGTTAAGTGAGTGTACGTCAATTGTAAGAAGGGATCCGAAATAAACGTAGTTTCTAGCCGGGTGTACACAGACACAAACAATAACCCGATCATATATACACAACCCAATCCGTCGTCGACTAGGGTTTTCTATCTATAAAATAACAAGCTGTATTAAAATGTTACCATATCCGTGTTCTGTAAACGGTCAGTGGTCGGTAGCTGTTTGGACTAATTTCGGATCAACAAAGATGCCAGTAACTGGACTGTGGGAGAAACCTGCAAAGCACGCAACATGTTACTGCACTTGGTGTTAAACATTACAATAGGCCAAGGATAGAAGTAGATCCTGTGAAAATGATTAGTGTGTGCCCTTCAAAACCTCTAGACATGGTAGCTGTATATATATATTGTAAGCCCTAATTACATTAGCTCTCTCTCTCTCTCTCTCTCTCTCTCTCTCTCTCTCTCTCTCTCTCTCTCTCTCTCTCTGACTATTGATTTCTGGAATGGAATCTGCACATAATTGCAGACTGGTTATTGTCTGGCCATTTGCTTCAGACAGACAAGAACAAAATATCAAATCCTATCTTATCTTATCATTCAATCAAATACTACGTTCATTTTTAACTATTTGTGCCAAGTTCTGTTTGTGAGTGGTAAATTTTGTATTTTAAATTGCATACATACATACATACATACATACATACATACATCCATACATACATACATACATACATACATACATACATACATACATACAAGAGCTCTTCAAAAGAAATTCCAAAATGATACATGCACTTTGTTTTAGAAACTGTGTCCCATAAGCACACAAACAAAATCCATTTTATCTTGAAAGGAGACCGTTTTAAAAAGTCAATATACCGATGCTGTAAAATAACTTCAGTGCTCAATGACCAATGCAGGGCTGCAATCATGTCATGACAGGACTGTCAGCCCAGCGCGGGCGATTTTCATTTTACGCCAACGTAGATTTCGGATCTCTGTCATGTCATGGAAGACCAGTCAGTAATATCGGATCCTCGGGAACGTCTACAGTAGAGAGATGCCGGGCGTGTTATTCCAAAGATTAATCGTTGCTAGCAAGCATTCAGTGGTCGTCATTCCGCATAACGTGAACAGAACGTATATGTGTATGTATGGATCAGCCTTGGTGTTGAGAACGACTTGAGCGATTCATTACCCCATCCGCCAAACATGCCTGCCCGTTGTCAATACGTGGATCCGAAACCGTTGCGTTGAAAAGCACACAGAGTGAATGAATGTGTGTAACCTCCGGCAAGAAGCTGGCTGCACACAAACTGCTTTAGTGAATGGGATATTACAGTATACATATACATGTATTTTTATGTTTACGTTGCATTGTAATATACATTTAGCCACTGTATAAGGCCACAAGCCCATAGAACATGACATTAGAAATACTGCAAAATTGACGAATATCGGAATCTAACATTCATTATAACGCAAGGGAAGGTGGCATTGAAGCCCGTGTTCTTAACATGTCAATCGGGACTGGGAAAGGCATGTCTTAGTATTTCAGCTTATCGCTTTATAGTACAATTTTTCAGATTTCTGATAAGATCGTGTAATCAAAAATAGGCAT